TAAGTGGAAAGGAAATCCACTTTTATATGTTGTTCCATAACACACAAAGCCACTGTAATTTTAGGTTCATCTTACACCGTAATGCTAAATGATCATCTGTTGTTGTGCATCAGATGTTTACAACGGGTGCAGCTCTTGTATAATCTCTGGACACACAACCTGCCCGTACCGGTTATCGTGACTATTTTTCCGTTAAAAGTATTGATTATGACTATGAAGCACATAAAGAGACATTTTTTGTTGCTGTTTTCCCGGTTTTTCTTCTGCGTATTATGTTTCTGCTGACCTTTTAGAAAGGCGGGATGCACTTACAGGAAGGCCTAATGGCCGCCGAGATGACATAAGACAACATCATTTGTGTATTTGGGCCCCATCAGCAGCACCGTGGGGGTTTACATACAACATGGGTGGAGGAGTAGAAGCAACACTGGCATTAATGATGCTGGTGATGTCGTTTAGCTCCAAACAACACATTCAGGGCAAACTGCTCTGTAAAAAAAAAGAATGTTGTTTTTTTTTACTTTTTCAAACTGTAATTTACAAACAATTTGCTTTTATTCTACAGATTTCCCTGTTTTGTTAAATTACAGTAACTAAGTATTAATATACATGTGAATGTAAAAAGAAAAACCCAGAATAAAACTGTGAACATATGACCATAAATTACGCTATTATTTTTTTTTTTTACTACTGCATTTCAATCAGCTAAATTAGATTTTTTTTTAACATATATTTTTTTATGTATACTTTTTGATCATTATTTGAAAGAAAAAAATATGTATATTAAGGATTGAAAATTATAAATTATTTATAAGTAGTTATTTTACAGATTTTATTCGTTTCTAAATTGCAGATAATATCTAGTAAAGTGACTGAAAAAAACCCGATTAATTTACATGTCGAATACATAAATAAATAAATAAGTAAATAAATAAATAAATAAATAAATAAAACAGCCCAAAATTGCACATAATGCGTGCATCAAAAATCTTTGCTTTTACAAATAGTAATTTGTTGTTTCCAATGTGTGTAAAATTACTCTATTTTACATTATTTAACTCAGTTAAATACTATCCTTATTTTATAGATATTTGCATTTTTTAAAGAAAAAAAAATGTGTATATTCAGGATTGAAAAATGGTTAAAAAAAAAAAATTATGAAGTTTTATTCTACAGAGTTTCCATTTTGGACATTATAGATAATATCTAATAAAATCACAGAAAAATGTAATAAATATTTACATGCTGGCTGTAAAAAAACAGGCCAAAATTTGTTTATAATTTCCACATTAAAAATCTTTTTATTTTTGGATTACAGTGTGTGTGTGTGTGTGTGTGTGTGTGTGTGTGTGTGTGTGTGTTTTACAGTGTTTTATGTCCTTTTAGGAGGCCAAGCTCAAGAGCTTTTGTATGTTCTTACTGGGACCATCAGTTATTAAATATGGGAACAACTGAATAAATGAATTTTAGTGTTAAAGTGGAATAAGTCCAACATCTGTTACTGGATGGGGAGAACTGTAGTGGCTATCCTGTGTATTTTCTCAGACCCGTTACGATGTGTGGCGTCGGGTCCTGAAGACGTTCTGGGCGGTGGTGGTCGGATACTCCATGGTGGTGCTGATCGCCATCTACATGTATCAGTTCAGGAGTGTGTCCGGGCTGTTCAGACAGATCATGGGCATGTCGGAGGACGGGTGAGTAAATCTGGGAATTCATCTAATAAATATTTTTGTCGAGTCTTTCTAAGATGATGCAGGAAGGTTCTTTGTATTTGGGGCTTTTGTCACGACCTTATTACAGACTTGGCTTTTTAAAGACGCTCATATTGTTCCTCCTGTGTCACTCTTTAGTCTTCGGGACCTGGGTTTGGAGCGGTACGACACAGTGGAGCTGTTTGCACGTATTCTGCTTCCTGCTGCATTCCTGTTGGCTTGTATCCTCCAGCTGCATTACTTCAACGCAGACTTCCTGACTCTCACCGACCTGGACGACGTACCTGTCAGGCAGGCTTCCAGGTGAGACAGCAAGAACACACTGCACCACACAGCCTTGTCTGAAGGTCAGATTCAGGTACAGATCCTTCCAATTAGTGCAAATATAGAATTATGATTATGTTCAACGTCAAGACAGAAAAATGCAAAAGCAGCTCGTGAAACTGCACTGACATACTGAGGCTCTGTTCACACTTAACCCTGTGTTTCTGGTTATTTTTTGCTCCTGTTACATTTACACTGCAATATGAAGTCCTGCACCTCTATGGAAACAACACAACCATTACAAACAGTAGAGAGAACTCTGAAATATGTTTACTGAACACAGGAAACAGTTATAGTGCCATAGATCATTCAAAGCACAAGATCAAAAGCTGTACTGTATTATTTATCTTGCAAAAACGGCAAAAAATCAACATGTACAACATTTTTCGAAGTGGCCACAGGTGTTACCAATATTGGAAAGCAAAGGGGGATTCTGCATGCTGTGGATCAGGGGTGCCCAGTCCTGGTCCTTGAGAGCCCCTATCCAGCATGTTTTAGATGTGTCCCTCTTCCAACACACCTGATTCAAATGATCAGCTCATCATCAAGCTCTGCAGAAGCCTGATAACGATCCTGATCATTTGAATCAGGTGTGTTGGAAAAGGGAAAGATCTAAAACATGCTGGGCACCCCTGCTGTGGATAGTCTATTTTACAAGCTCTGGTCATATTTTTTACAACCGCTGCACTCAAAGTTTTTCACATTACTCTGTACATCAGCTCTAGGAAGATGTTCCACCATTCTGAATGTGATCCAACAACTCTGCATACTGGTTTTGTACCATGCTGCATTTATTCTGTTCATCCAGTATGTTTTACTTTCCTCTCAGTCTCTCTTGTCGTCTCTTGTCTGCTCCGTGTAAACACTGCCGGCAGTTCAACTGAGAAGTCTGTTCATTTTTTGTCAAGTGACTGTTGGTTATGACCTCTCAGTTGCACTCAGGAGCACCGTTTTTTGTTTCTTTTACAGGATCTGGTGCAAATAGTTTATTCTTTGTGATTTTTTAAAAAACATAGCATTTAGAATGAAGTGATGTTGATGAAAAATCACAACGTTCAGCTTGGATTTGGTCACATTTACTTAACTGCAAATCACACATGATTAGTTTAAGAAAGTTAAAGATTTGATGATTATTTTTGTTTTACAGTTTCTGAATCGACTACTTACTGTAATATGGGTGATTTTTAAACGAGAACACGACTTTCAAACTTGCTGGTGGGTTCAGTGGTTCAGAGGCTTGGTATGTGTCTTCAGTGATGCATGTTTAGTGATGGGTTGTTGTTCTGAACCAGCGGGTGGCAGCAGTGTCTTCATCATATCTGCTGGGAATGACAAGAACTAGAAGAAATCAGCATTTTGCTTGTTGCTGTTGCACCACTTTATTATGATCCTGTTACGACCCAGCCTCTAGGGTCGGCTGGATATAACTAAAAAGACCAGATGGAAACGGTTCAGGCAAAGGAATTTATTGCTTCGTAACGTAAATGAACATAACAGAACAGTGACGATACAAAAGAAGATGGTGGATGTTGGTACCAAACAGAACCAAACGAAACTAAACTAAACTCTTTAGCCAAACTTTAAATCTAATGGCAACATCCACACATAACAAAAGAAACTAAAACAAACTGGAAAACACAAGACTTCTTCTTCACAAAGTTACACAGCTGCTAACAGGAGTCATAGTCTGAACTGCGACTCTCACGAAACTCCAACACCGAGTCAGCAGCTGCCAACAGATGTTACATTAACACAAAAGACACAAACCGAGAGGCACCAGGACCGACTGGTCACACTAAATCCCAGCCAGCCCCGACTGAGAGGTTACTGGTTGCTTTCATAGCCAGGTGTGGTGATTGGTGGGTTGGAGGAGGAGTGATGGTGGTCCAATCAGGTGTAACTGGAGTCGGGAAGAACAAGGCTGAGAGTAGGTGGGGATCTCCAGGGCAATCATCGCTGATGTCTGGCAGGCAGGTGTGGTTCTTGAGCACCGACTTCAGCTGGGCCTTCGCCAGCCATCTTCCCACACAATGATCACAAGTCCACCACATATGACGGCACAAACACCACCGTAACAGATCCCAATGCCGCTGGTGCACGACTGAGTACATACTAACTTTAATTGAACATTGCCTGAATAACACTGATACACTTAGATCTGGTGATTGTGACAAATTATGTACGAGAGTATTCACTGATTTTATATTCTACTCAAAACAGTGCATAACATGTGTAAATAAATAAAAATAAAATAAAATATAGGAATAAAATAGCAGTCAGAACATTTGACTGCTAGCTGTACAGAGTATCTCTGTCTGTGTTCGTCTAATCCATCCGTCTCTTCATCCAGACAGGAGGAGCTCAAGAGTTCAGTCGCTGTGATCGCTGACACGTAAGCTCTGCATTTGTTCTGTCATAAACATCTTGTCACGCTCACATCTCACACTCTTTGTGTTCAAACCCAATAAAATCACAGTTTCACATTTTATTCATTGCCTGTAGATATAATCAGTGTTTGAACCACATTGATTGTTTGTTACACTCATTGTAATATTTATATTTAATCCCCAGCATCAAAGAAAACATCGAAAAGTTCCAGAAAAGGTAAGAAACCTGTAGTTTTTATTTGTTGTATCAGAAGTAGTGTTTTCATCCTGTATTCTGTTTATTTGGGATAGAATGTGTTTCTAGCTAATAATAAGTTGTCATTTTTCGAGTGTTTTGGGGACAGTGCCTTGACTTAGAACCAACAGCTAATTCTCTGTTTGAATACATGGAGCTGTTCTGTCTCAGTTAAGTAGGGTTGTTTTTTTTCTTTAACGCATTTACTCCCTGTTGTCCGGCAGGCTCGTGAAGGAACAGATGGGAACCGGGAAAAGTCAGGAGACTCTGGACAGCATCGGACTGCAATCCACCTCCGAGAAAGGAGCCGAGGAGCAGGACGAGACGACAGGAGAAGGTAGCAGGCATCCAGAAGACTGGAGCTCCAGTCGCCTTTTGTTGGGTCGATTTGTAGAAGTACTGATATGGCATTATAAGACTATGGACTCCTTAAAAGCAATGTGTTTTTCTTAGGCTGGCTCCAAATATGACTTTTATGTGAGTGCCAGTCGTGAATTTTAGGTAGAGCTGTTCTATTTAAACTGTGAAACTCTTTGGATGTTTAAATTGGCTCACATGCAAGCGTTACTGTTTGTGTTGAAAAGAGAATTCAGTCAGTTAAGTTTGTTTCTGATTCTTGATTTTTAGAAAAAAATAAATAAATTGTGATATATTTTCAGATTCAGTTTTACGGATATGACAGTCTGTTTGAGCGTGACCAGAGCTGCAGCAGTGACATGTTGTTAAAACTACATCTGATGCCTTTGTTACCATCTGTTTCTCTCAGAAACTGCGCAAAGCAGTCGTGAGGACAAGTGGTTTTTGATCGTGGACCGGGCGAGTCTGCTGCTCGTTCAGGCTCTGTCGGGGCTGTTCAGGCTCCAGGAGCTGGGCTGGAGACTGCTGGAGCTCCACAGCCTCAAAATAGTGTCTACTGGCATCATCTGGGTATCACTGCAAGAGGTGGGAGGACGGATTAGTGCAAGTTACAAGCATGGAAATGTAAAGATCAAATCGCCAGGGCCTTCTGCTCAACCAACTCTGATTTGCTTAAAAGGTTTTTTTTTTTTTAATGAACTATTGATATTTTTAATGGTATCTTTGAAATTTTAGATGTGATATATCAAATACTTTTCGAGACAACTGAACAAAAACTTCCCATCGACCCACATTCAGCACATTCTTTTGCACATTCAAATTTGAGGCTGTTTTGAAGCCTAAAGTTTTGGTACTTCTGATTTTCACACTGATTGGGAATCTGCAATATTGGACAAGTTGATCAGATCATCTCTAAATATGAGGAGGGTGAAATGTAAAAGGAAATTAAATGTGACAAAACAAAAGACGTGCTGAAAGTGGGTTGATGGGCATTTCTTTAAACATTTTCATCTTGAAAAGTATTTGATAAATCAAGCTATAACTTCTTTATAATCTCCATGTATTATGCTAGAAAATGTTGATGCAAATCAGGGATTGTTGAGCAGAAATTTGAGGATTTGCAATGGAATGATCATAATGCATGTGTACAAATTGCCACCAAAAAATGAAGAGCAATCCGCTGATAATGATTTATTCAGTGTTAATTTAATGGTTATTAAACCGTTTTCTCCTTCTTCATCTACGCCTCCTCATCATACCAGAAATAAAGCTGAAGTCCCTCAATATAGGACAGACTATTATGCCTTACAGAACAGATTTATAATCCATGAAGATACCTGGAGACACAAGGATTTCAGAGGAAAGACAAAAAGTGGTTTCTGTTCTTGCAGGTGTCGCTGATGAACTCGCTCTTCCTGGTCCTGTGGGTGTTTGCGCTCCCGTTCCCACGGTTACGACCTTTGGCCTCCAGCATCTCTGCCGTGTGGGCCTGCGTCATGGTGGTGTGCAAGATGTTCTACCAGCTCAAAGTCATCAAACCTCTGGATTACTCCTCCAACTGTACTGCGGTGAGTGGAGCGTGTATATGTGTGTGTGCATGTGTGACTTTTTTTCAGCTATTTGTACTTGTAAAGCACTTTGTAGCTTCTAATATTGATAATATTTGTAATAAAGACGTACAATCAATATGCAGCAATGCATACACACTCTGTACACTCTGGTTTTAACTCATCTATCGTGTCATTTATTCCTTTTTAGTTTGTCTTTGCAGAAACTACAAATGTCTGCCGTGTTCAGGCTTCTTCTTCTTCTTCTTCTTTCATATTTAAACACAAGCATGCTCTGATAATGACTCTAACCTTCCCGCTAACCCTCCTTTGTTCTGCGCCTCTCAGGGTTTGCTGCCCTCCAACAGCTCGGACCTGGATGAGCTGAGGGGAAACATGGTGGAGCTGCTCAAGAGGTCGATTCTCTACGTGGAACCCGTCGATCCCGTCTACTGGTGTGGAGCTCTGCGCAAGTGCGAGGGTCGGATCCTCCCGTGTCTGAGGGTGAGCTGCCAGAGTCTGGTTCCTAGAAAAACCTGCTTTTGCTTTGATTTTGCATCATATGATTTTATCCTGTTAAATGTGTTCTAATGTTTTCTAACAGTGGATTCGTTGTTATGAAGCCTAACAGGAGGCTGAAGATCTCAAAGCTGGTAACTGCAGTTTTAATTATATTGACAGGTTTTTCCCAAAAATGTGATTAGATTTTCCTACAAAATTCTTCACATAAGTAGGCATGACAACTGTGAGGATAAAGCATTATTATTATTAACTAAATAGAATTATTAACGTCATTATATTCACAATATTATGTGAGCATTTTGATTATTGTAGGAGCATACCTCCGAAAGAATAAAACACATCTACACTCTAAAAGTAATGTCTGGCCTCAACAACAACAAAAAAATATTAAAGTAACAACTTCCATCAATCTTTTTAAATTAAGGATAATTTTCAACCAACAAAAAATGAGTTGGGGGAATTAGCTTTTCTGCTGCAATCAGAGATATTGTTTAATGACACTGACTTAATGATAGGAAGCATAAACACAAGTTTTAAAGTTGATTACTCATAAAAATGTGAAAGTATTATTTCCATGTTATGTAAAGGGATTTTTAAAAAACGTAATTAAATAACTATGAAAACAAGATGGCATATGCGTTAATGTTTGCTAGATAGAGGAGGGCAGAGAAAATTGTTATCAAGATAATTTCATTAAATTCACTCAACTTTAATTTAGTTTTAAATATCTAAAGCAGAAATTTGAGTTGAAATCACACAGAAATGTTCAGTTTATGCAATGACCATCATTAGTATTTTAACCCCACTGTTCAAAATAATGTTTGCAGCTAAAATAGATTATCTAAATTATCTAAATTATATTTTTTATGTTATTTTTTTGCAACCATGCATTTGATTACGTAGTGAGAATTGGTCCTTTGAATGACTTTTTAGAGTGAAACCATAAAATATTTCCTAAAATTCTTCAGTTAAATCTCCCTTCCTCCTTTTGATTGTGTGTCAGTTCTGTTTTTGTGCCTATAAAGTGTGTTTTATGTTGTAGAACCACCTGATGGTGTTGGGGCTGCTGGTGTTCGAGGCGACTGTCCATCGCCACCAGCTCTACTTCCGTCTCCATAACGACCTGAAGCCTCCACCTTTCAGCATCATCTTTCAGGGAATCACCAGGCAGCACCTGGACCACGGCATCCTGCCCTGCATCAAGTACTTCATCAACTTCTTCTACTACAAGTTTGGACTCGAGGTAATTGTTTTAGATGCTGAAATCGGTCTGCGTCTGTTTGTATTTTATATCTTTTGTTAATATGCAGCATTTCCTCTTAGATCAGTTTGATTGTGGCGGTCAATGTGATCGGTCAGAGGATGGATTTCTACGCTCTGTTCCATTCCTGCGCCTTATTGGCTGTTCTGTCACGGCGGCGCAGGAAGGCGATTGGGGAAGTTTGGCCTAAATACTGCTGCTTTACGGCCGGGCTCATGGTGCTGCAGTACCTGCTCTGCATCGGCATCCCTCCGGCTTTCTGTGTTGGTATGGACACTTTAAGAACTAAGATAAACCATAATTTCAATGCAGCTGCTTAAAAAGACGATTTTTCCTGAGCACCTGGTGTGGGATATAATGTACTTTTTAAAATATCCATAAAAAGTGTCAGACGATTGCTTTGAAAAAATGAATTTGAAAAGATCTCAAGGGAAAAAGTGACTGCAGCATTATACAAGCATACTTTAATGAGAGATTTAATGTCCAAAAACATTAGAGCCATGAACATAAAGCATGAAAGATTTCAAATTCACCAACTAAACAAACCAAAAACAAAACTGCAGATATCCACTGTCATACTCAGGCTGCAATTAACAATCGTTTCCCTTATTTTATTTTATTTTTTTTAATCTGGCATTGTGATTTTTCAGTAATAAAATGTCAGAAAATAACAACAGAAGCTCATCACAGTTTCTCAGATCCCAGTGTGAGGTTTTCTGATGTAGAAAATCTGATTATAAAAGTATATAAGAGTACAGGTATCATTCTTTCTTTCTTCCTTCCTACAGACTACCCCTGGAGAACTGCATTTGAGCCTTTGACCTCTAACGTTATTAAGTGGTTTTACATGCCCGACTTTGCCATGAGACCAGATCCTACGTTCATTTTCTGTGAGTTGATCCTCCTTTTCGAGCCTCTTCTGTAACCCCTCGTGTCCGATCCGCTTGTTCAAACTCCCCTCCGGCTCCTCTCGCCTGCAGACGACCACCTCCTGCTGCTCTGCTCCTCTCTGCAGTGGCAGGTGTTTGAGGAGGAGAACCGGGCGGCGGTTCGCCTGCTGGCCGGAGACAACGTTGAGATCAGCCGCAGTTTGGATCCTTGTTCCTTCAACCAGTTCATACCTGTCGACAACTTCCTTCACTGCAGGTCAGAAACACTAACCTTACTCTTCAGATTTTTTTATTTTATGTTTTTACACCTTCTACCTTTTCAAAAGAAATAATTACGACTGTAATAATAATATCCACCACTGTTGATGAATAATATCGAGTGCTGCTCATTGTAATAATGAATAAACAACAATCCAGACAGATTATTAGTTGATTAGTCAGCTGACTTGAAATATTTTAGCAGTTTATTTAAATTGTGATTTATATAATTGACTTAGTAAGCCATGTTTGTTAGCTATTTAGAGCTTTAGCTTTGTTGGGGAACTTGCTGTGGGTTTTTTGAGATTCTATTGGCAATTAAATAATAGAAAATTAACTTAAACTGTAAAATAAATGTATTAGTGTGAGACAAATAGATCGTGAAATACACTGAGTCATTAGAAAATCCTGCTAAATATGCATGTTAAATGTGATGCTACAGTTAGCAACAGGTTAGCTTAACTTAGCATAAGACTGAGTAGAATTAAAGTAATCTCTTGGTTTCTTTTAAATGTTTCTGATATACAAAATGTTCATTAGTAAGCTTCTGATGTGTTTGCAGGTGTATTTTTAGAAACTGAACAGAGCTAGTTCAATGCTAAACCAGTTAAGAACTGCCCTTGTGGTATGTCTTTATGCTAAGCTAAGCTAACTCCTGCCAGCTGCAGCGTCACATTTAACATACTGACACGAGAACGCTAACTTCCGTAACTCTCAGAAAGAAAGAAGTAAGACGTTATTTATCGATCTGCATTTATTTATTAGAAGAAAAATGACCAGAACTTTCCTGCATTTAAAAGTATTTCCTGTTTCCCGTCTCCTCAAAAACAACATTTTCCTTTATGTAAATACACAGAACAACAACATTAATAGAATAATTATGGGACTCTGTGGTTCTCACATGTTCTCCTGTTTTTATTTCTGCTTTATGTCCACGTCTGCGTCGTCCCCAGGAGCTACCTGGACATGGTGAAGGTGTTTGTTTTCAGCTATTTCTTCTGGCTGGTGCTCTGCCTCATCTTCATCACCGGCACCACCCGGATCAACATCTTCTGTCTGGGCTACCTGGTGGCCTGCTTCTACTTCATGCTGTTTGGAGGCAGCGTGCTGATGCAGCCCGTCAGATACATCCTGAGGCTGTGGGACTGGCTCATCGGATACACCTGCTTCGTGATCGCCATGAAGAACCTGCTGTCTGTGAGTTCCTGTAAAGAAAGGAAACAAGTTCAGTGCCTTTATCTTTCCAACCTTTTTCAACATGCTTCCTGCTCTCTGTCCTTCAGCTCGGAGCTTGTGCCTACCTGGACAGTCTGCTGAAGAACAGCTGCTGGTTGATTCAGGCCTTCAGCATGTTCTGCACCATTAAAGGCTACGACGTCCGTAAGTGGAACAACAACTGTGTGTCTTGTGTTCCTACACCGTGTGTAAGCTGTGTTTTAAACAGAGAAGAAACTGTATTGTTAGGAGATGGCTCCTAGTTTTAGGAAGTGGACCCAATAAGGCGACAAGGGAGGTGGGTTGTAAAAGGAGGGTTTTTAAATCGGGGAAGGAGTGAGGACACTGAGGAAGCAGGAGAGGGAAGTGCTGGTGCACGCTGGACTTTGTGAGGGGATGTGAGAGGGTTTAGGGCAGGGGTGTCGACATCCGGTCCTCGAGGGCCGCAATCCTGCATGTGTTAGATGTTTCCCTCTTCCAACACACCTGATTCAAATGATCAGGATCGTTATCAGACTTCTGCAGAGCTTGATGATGAGCTGATCATTTGAATCAGGTGTGTTGGAAGAGGGAAACATCTAAAACATGCAGGATTGCGGCCCTCGAGGACCGCAGTTTGACACCCCTGGTTTAGGGGGCTCCAGCGGTGTGCTCCAGTGCAGGGGGGGGACTCCATGTTCCGTGGAGAGGGTGCTCGTGACGGTCGGGATCCGATGGGGGAAAACCTGGAGGGCTGCTGCTGCTGGTTGCCTCGAAAAGGCTGGACAGGAGACACATCAGGTTGAGGAGGCTCTGCAAAGGATGCAGACACAAAAAACGTCAGCATAGATCTGACAAACAACAAACACGAGTACTCGAGATTAAGCGTGACCGATCTACCGCTCGTAGAGGAGTTAGTCCTCTGGCCACCCATCACGGGGAGAAGTCAGCTTAAAAGCAGCACTGATTATGATGCGGGACAGGTGTGGTGGATAATGAGCGAGCGAGTCCCCGCCCAGCCTGAAAGTGCAAAGCACAGCAAAACTAAAACACACAGGAAATACAATAACCAAAATAAAAGCACACAACACGAATCCCAACATGTGTAAGAGTTCAAATTACATGAATGCTGTCATTGCATAGCCTTTTACACATTATATGCTTTGAGTATACTAGTTTACTTTAACAGCTGTTACTCTGCGTAACAGATTTTGCCGTACATGACATATATTTTCAAATGTTTGTTACAGAAGTTTTCTTTCTGATATCTACAGCTAAAAACTGGTTGCACTGTAATAATACAAAAAATGTTATTTTATGTGTGAAAATTTCAATAGCATTTCCAGAAATAGACTGAATTTACATTGAACTTTGAATAAACCTATAATCGCCTCTGTTTTTCAGAAAATTGTCTTCTTTTTTTAAATATAAAATGTTAAAATTCATCTGCAATTTCAACTTAAATTTACAAATAATTCCTTTCTATTAAATAGATTAAACAGTTAAATTTAACATGAATGCCTACAACACATATATTTCTAAATTTAGATCTAATTACTGCCAATTAATAGGAAAAGAAGTAGTGGTTTAGTATATCACATTTGTTTGTTTAATCACAGACATCCTGTATAATTACAAACTTTCACAATAAAAAATATAAAATAAATGTGTTTTCATCAGTGTATAAAATCCATGACACTGGTAATAAGTCAGACTACAGTTTTAATCATTATGTATAAAGTGTATTTATAGATAGATTAGGTTTTGTGGATTTTATGCTCATGTACAACATTTTAAAGCTATTTTTTATGATTTTGTTTTTTTTTAGTTTTCTAGTAATACTTGATTTGAAAACCCAAACTACACATGTTATTTAACTGCGATATACCACATTTTGAGTACTAAATACTGTGAAAAGCTGTTTGCAGCAGCTTCATATCTGTGTAACATTTACTCTTCTGGCTGTAGTTGAGATGAGAAAAACATTTCTAATATTAAAACTAAGCTCAGTGTAGTCTGTAAAGGATTCAGAAAACTTTATTGTCCATCTGTTGATGTCCTCTGACAAGTCTTTTCAAAGTTACGACTATTTATTCAAACATAACTCTGTGTCTGTTTCAGCGGATCCTGACGATGAGTGTGAGCTGCCGGAGGGTGAAGCCGGCATCGTCTGGGACGCGATCTGTTTCACCGTCCTCCTGGCACAGAGAAGAGTTTTCCTCAGCTACTATTTCCTCTACGTGGTGTCTGACCTCAAGTCCTCTAAGATACTGGCCTCCAGGTCTGAACTCTGCGTCCTCTTTAGGTCCATAGTGTACTTTAAAGCAGCACAAGGGAGTTATAGGAACAAGATGAGCAGACACAGAATACAGTGAGCAGTAAATGTTTGAACACTTGAAAGCTGGATAAACTTTGTTGGATAAATTAAACTCAATCAAGCTTAACATGATAGGCAAAGACGTCCAACTGTCTTTTGATAAGGAAGCATGCAGTATTTGTGTCACTTTCAGCGGTAATCAATCATTTTTTTATGATTTCCTAATCATTTTCTCTCTTTTTTTTTTTCAGGAAAATCTAAGTGATTTGATGCTAATTGTACAGAAAATAGTAATTTGCATGAAAGTCAAACTCCATTTAAACCCAACTAGATAAGTAGGTATACTGGGAAACATGATTGTTTCAGATTTTGTTGTAGTCGGTGACCACTCAGTGGGCTGGACCAGAACGGAAAAAGGCACAAGGTTAGGGAAAAACAGGTTTTATTTTAAGGGAATAAGGGAGTGAGGAAACCAGGGAGGCAGGTGAGGGAATCCGGGGCTGGTACGCTGGTGTCGTGAGGGGGAGTGTCCTTTCTATGTGATTATCCGTGCGGCTTTTGCTTGTATGGCGTCTTGTCCGTATATGGTGCGCGTGTGAATGGTGAGGTTTCAAACCCGGTGCTCGTGTGGTGTTTCTTCCGTGGTGCTCTTCCCGTGTCAGTGCTCGAGTGAAGGAATTCCCGGCTCGTGAATCCGTGGGGGCAAACCAAAAGCTGGCGAAGTGGGGCTGGAAAAGCTGGAAACAGGGGCTGGTGGAGGAGATGCTGGAGAGGGAGAAAAACACACACAGTAACTCATAGGCTCGAGAAGATAAGGCAAAAACACATGTGCTTCGGCTGGCAGCTAGATATACCAGAGGAGAGTTGGCAATCATCTCGCACTGGAGCACAGAAAGACCAGTGGCTTTATCCAGTGTGTAACGAGGATGATCAGCCACAGCTGTGATGGTGCCGACGTGTGCTCCTCCAATCAGCCCCGCCCAGCCTGGAAAACATTGAGACACAGACACTCCAGCTGCATCCAGAAAATGTTAATAAAAACAAATACAAAAATCACACAATCACCACAAATTTTCCATATTTTTTTTCCAGGAAAATCTAAGTGATTTGATGCTAATTGTACAGAAAATAGTAATTTGCATGAAGACAAACCCCATTAAAACCCAACTAGATACGTAGGTATACTGGGAAACATGATTGTTTCAGATTCTGTGTTTTGACCTGATCTGAACTGACTAAAAGACTCTCTAGGTTTTGTTTAGCTGGGAATAATTAGTTGGAAGTGTTTCAGGTGAACAATGTCTCTGATTTTTTTTATAATTACCAACAACAGATAGCTCTGTGTCATTTTATATTTCTTTTGCATCTTAATTTCAACAACACCAGAAATATAATTTGTCAGTGTGTGAATTTTATGTCTCTGTTTAGGAAACTTGCTCTTTTGTTACTGCTTGTTTCAGTTTCATTTGTTGTTGTAGAATTATTATAATACCTAAAGTTACAGAACACCAGGCAGAAAGACAAAGAAAAGTAAAATTACAAGCAGCTGAAAAAAATCAACACCAAAAGCAGAAAAATTAATTTGTTCCTCTGCGTCTCTTGACCTTAAAGGGGCGCTGAGCTGTTTGAGGCCAAAGTGAAGAAGCTGGTAGCAGCCAGACTGGAGATGGAGAAGAAATCAGTGGAGACACTGAAGAAACAGTAAGACACACACAATTGTCACATGAATTAATTAACAACAGAATTCCCCCTCCCTATCCCCCATTTAACTTCTCCTTAAAGGAGAACAGTAAGTGATTGATTAAACTTTCTGCTCTTTTCTTGCAGGATGGAGAAGATCAAATCGAAACAGAAGAGTCGGCCTGCACCGGCAGAAACAGAAAAACCTCCTGCTGATCAGGAGCAGGTCGCACTGGGTAACGCAAGTCAATCTGTTTTAGCTCGCGCATTATTATCTAATTAAAAAAATAACAACACGGCTTTAATTCTCTGAGACCCAAAGTAAAGTCTACCAATGTGTTTAAAAGACATGTTGTGTTTAAAAAATAACCAAAATGGCTCAATTTTTAAAGCTAGTCATCTGTAATGTGCACTTTCATTGAAAAACGTAAATAATCTAAGCTTAACATCCTAATATTTGATCAAAATTATTTTATTTTACATGCCTCGTATGTAGTTCAAACAGGTTATAAAATTGTAAAAAAAATCACGTTGATTGGGGTTTTTTTCACGATTTTTGTAGAAACTCTTTTCTTTTCTGTGGCATTCTAACCATGTCATACTGCACACATTACATTTCTGGCTTCTCTCTACTTCTAGCTATGGTTGTGTTCTTTCCACAGAGGTGCAGGACTTTATATTGCAGTTATAGAATGCGCCCAGAGTGGATAAGGATGTGACAGCAACATAAAACATCCAGAAACTGCTCAGGGTGCAGAAGGTTAAGTAATAAAGTACCAATCGCGATATTAGGCTGTATAATTATGGACTTAAATTCCAAAAACATTTCTGAAGAGTGTATTTTCATGATGCATCAGGATCTTCCCATGATGACAAGGAGGCTCTCCTCTCTTGTTTTATGGTTTATTTATACCTGTGGAAGTATCTTTGGTCTTCATCGCTAAAAAGGAGAAAGTAAGGCAATATACGGGATAAATAAACAATATCAACTGTGTTTTCCAGACAATGAGGAGAAGGCAAAAAAAGATGCAGGAAAATGGTGGAAGCCCTGGGTCTCTCAGCCTGGAGGTGAGCAGCAGCATCACACGATGCAACACGGAGCTGTGGACAAACAGTTAAATAAAGAAAGTGCTGAAATGGGAAAAAATAAAGCTCGACTTTACGTTTTGTCGAATTCTGTTTGCCACAGTGGAAAACAACTGCGGCTACCACCTGTTTGAGAGCGACAGCGAGGAGGAGGAGGAGGAAGTTCCAGAGAAGAAGGAGGAGGAGGAACCACCGAAGAAGAAATCTGCTTTCCAGGTGAGAGCCAGAA